GCTCTGTTAGGATGATACGGCTCTACGAGGTCTTTAAGATACGATGGAGCCTTGTCATTAAGGGCTTTGTATGTTAGGAGAAGGATTTTAAATTCTATTCTGAATTTTACAGGGAGCCAGTGGAGAGAAGCTAATATGGGAGAGATATGATCTCTCTTGCTAGTTCCTGTCAGTACTCTGGCTGCAGCATTCTGGATTAACTGGAGACTGGAGGAATTATTGGGACATCCTGATAGTAAAGAGTTACACTAGTCCAGCCTGGAAGTAACAAATGCATGGACCAGTTTTTCAGCATCACTTTGAGACAGGATGCTTCTGATTTTTGCAATATTGCGCAGGTGAAAGAAGGCAGATCTAGAGACTTGGTTTATGTGTGATTTAAAGGACATATTCTGATCAAAGATGACTCCAAGGTTCCTCACAGTAGTACTGGAGGCAAGAGCTATGTCATCTAAAGTAACTATATGATTAGACAGCAGATTTCTAAGGTTTTCAGGCCCAAGCACAATAACGTCAGTTCTGTCAGAGTTTAGAAGTAAGAAGTTGCAGGTCATCCAGGCCTTTATGTCTGTAAGACATGCTTGAAGTTTGACCAGCTGACCTGATTCATTTGGCTTCATAGATAAATATAACTGAGTATCATCTGCATAGCAATGGAAATTTATGTTGTGCTTCCTGATAATATTGCCTAAAGGGAGCATGTATAAAGTGAAGAGAATTGGACCTAACACAGAGCCCTGTGGAACGCCGTGACTAACTTCAATTTGTGTGGAACATTCGTCATTAACATGAACAAATTGAAATCTTTCTGATAAATAAGATTTGAACCAACGTAGCGCAGTTCTTTTAATCCCAATAACATGTTCAAGTCTCTGCAGTAAGATGCTGTGATCAATGGTGTCAAAAGCAGCACTGAGATCTAAGAGGACAAGTATGGAGACAAGTCCTTTGTCCGAGGCTAGCAGAAGATCATTGGTGACTTTCACCAATGCGGTTTCTGTACTATGATGGACTCTAAATCCTGACTGAAAATCCTCAAACAAATCATTCTTGTGCAAGTGGTCACATAACTGCTTTGCAACAGCTTTTTCAAGGATTTTGGAAATAAATGGGAGATTGGATATTGGTCTATAATTAGCTAGGACACCTGGGTCAAGAGTAGGCTTTTTGAGTAGAGGTTTAATTACTGCAAGTTTAAAAGCCTGTGGAACATAACCTGTTAATAGAGAGAGGTTAATCAGATCTAGTATGGATGTGTTGATTAGGGGAAAGACGTCTTTGAGCAGCCTGGTCGGGATGGGGTCCAGGAGACATGTTGATGATTTAGATGAAGCAATTGTTGAGGTCAACTCAGAGAGATCTATAGGGGAGAAGTAGTCCAAGTATAAATGAGGTCTTACAGATGTTTCTAAAGCCATTGTAGTAGATGGCACATCTGCGAGAGCTGTGGGAGTGGTCCGACCAATTTTTTCTCTAATAGTTGTGATTTTATTTGTAAAGAAGCTCATGAAGTCATTGCTGCTGAGATCTAAGGGAATGTTAAGCTCAACAGCACTGTGGCTCTTTGTCAGCCTGGCTACAGTGCTGAAAAGAAACCTGGGGTTGTTCTTATTTTCCTCAATCAGTGATGAATAAAATGCGGTTCTGGCACTATGAAGCCCTGTCTACCCCCCTGCCAGTCCTGGTCTCCTCAGTCATCACTGCCCTACTCTGGTCAATGGACTATACATATACTTAGTACTTCCATGTTTTTATTCCCTTAAACCACCTTTT